CCAGACGCAGGTCATGGAAGTATATTTAATTCCGGGTCTTGAGAATTTCATGTATTGTGGCGTTGATTTCTGGAAGAAATTTAATATAGCACCGAAGCTCATTAGCAGTATCGAGATAAATTCTGTAATTAATGATTCTGATATGCATTCTTTATCTGATGATCAATCAGCTCAGCTTGAAAAGGCCAAGGAATGTTTTCTAGATTTTGATAAGTATGGTCTCGGTAAAACCCATTTAGAGGAGCACATCATTGATACTGGTGATGCGGTTCCAATTAAACAGCGTCATTATCCTGTGTCTCCAGCTGTTGAGTCTTTAATTTATCAAGAATTAGATCGCATGTTAAGTTTAGGTGTTATTGAACCCAGTATGTCTGCATGGAATTCGCCGGTCACTCTCGTTCGACGTGGAGAGAAGAATAGGCTGTGTTTAGATGCACGCAAGTTAAATGAGGTAACCGTGAAGGATGCTTATCCTCTCCCGTTTATCGATTCTCTTTTAGGCCGACTTCAGGACACCTACTTCATTTCTAGTATTGATCTTAAGGATGCTTTTTGGCAAGTTCCTCTGGCAGTTGACAGCCGTCCGAAGACTGCGTTTACAGTGCCGGGGAGACCGCACTATCAATTTACTGTCATGCCGTTTGGGTTGTGCAACGCAGCTCAGCGGTTATGTCGGTTGATGGATAGAGTGATTTCACCGGACCTGAAAAACCAGGTTTTTGTATACCTTGATGACCTGTTAGTCGTATCGCCAGATTTTGAGACTCATGTTGATCTGTTGCGCAAGGTAGGAGAGATGCTGTCCAGAGCGAATTTGACCATTAACTTAAGAAAGTCCAAGTTCTGTCGTCGAGAGTTAAGATATTTAGGCTATATAGTCGGTGAAGGTAAACTCAAGCCAGATCCTTCCAAAATAAACAGTATTACGGATATACCAATTCCTAAAACAACTCGCGATGTTCGCAGATTTTTAGGAATGGCTTCATGGTTTAGGCGTTTTATTCGCAATTATGCCGAAATTACAGCCTCAATTACAAGTACTTTGAAGAAAGGAAAACCTTTTTGTTTCGATGGACAAGCGATTGAGTCATTTAATAAATTGAAAGTAGCTTTGACTACTAGTCCCGTTTTAAGTCATCCCGTTTTCGATAAGAGATTTTATGTTCAGTGCGATGCTTCCAATCTAGGCATTGGTGCAGTCTTGTACCAATTAGACGCTGAAGGTCTGGAACGTCCCATAGCTTTTCATTCCGCACAGTTATCGAAGGCTGAACAAAATTATAGTGTCACTGAACGTGAATGTTTAGCGGTTATCAGTGCCATTAAGAAATTTCGCCCGTTTATAGAACTAATGCCTTTTACTGTTGTTACGGATCACAGTGCTTTAAAATGGCTTATGGGACAGAAGGATCTCAGTGGTCGTTTGGCTAGATGGAGTCTGAAGCTCCAAGCTTTCAATTTTGATATTCAGCATCGTAAAGGATCGCAAAATGTTGTCGCCGACACATTATCTCGTTTACATATGGATGAAATAAATATGTTCATTTCCGAAAAGCCATTAATTGATTTAGAATCTGATGAATTTAAATGTGAGGAGTATACACAGTTGATTGAAGAAATACGCGAGAACGAGGATAAACTTCCCGATTTAAAAATTGTCGATTCTTTTGTTTACAAGAAAACTCTCCCGTCGGACGGTAATCCAGTTCACGAGAATTTCACTTGGAAACTTTGGGTTCCTACCGGTTTAACCGAATCACTTATTGAGAATGCACATAAGTCTATAGTAAAAAGTCATTGTGGTATTGGTAGAACTATAGCTGCACTTAGACAATATTTTTATTGGCCTAAGATGGCAAGACAAGTACGAGACTTTGTAAATCGTTGTATTGTTTGTAAGGAGACAAAAGCTCCAAATAAAATCTTGAGAGCCAAAATGGGCAATGAAACCGTTACAGACAGGCCATGGCAAAAGATTTTTATTGACTTTATTGGTCCATTTCCACGATCGAGCTTAGGCAACACATTTATTTTCATCGTGTTAGACCACTTGACGAAATTTGTTCTTTTGAAACCAATGGCCAAAGCAAATTCGAAAAATGTCATTAAATTTTAGAGTCTGAAGTTTTTCACAAATTTGGTGTGCCACAATTAGTCCATTCTGATAATGGCAAACAATTTGTATCTTTTGAGTTCACTTCATTTTTAGAGAAATATGGTTGCAAACAGATCCGAAATGCGGTGTACTCTCCCCAAGCGAATGCTTCCGAGAGGGTCAATCGGACAATTATCGCTGTGATCAGATCGTACGTTTCGGAGGATCAAAAGGATTGGGACAAATATCTTTCTGCAATCGAATGTTCTTTAAGATCCACTTTGCACACATCAACCGGATTTACGCCATATTTTTCACTATTTGGAACACACATGATAACACACGCGAGTGAATACGATTTGGCACACAAACTGGGGATTTTGGAAGACGGTACAGTTGATATAGTCACGAAACATGACGTTTTACAATTGGTTCGAGATAGGATTAAAAATAAACTGCACGATGTTTTTGAAAAATCTGCCACACGCTACAACACACGATCACGAGAAGTTAATTTCAAACCGGGGCAGGAAATACTGAGACGGAATTTCATTTTGAGTGACGCATCCCGCCATCTTAATTCGAAGTTGTGTCGGAAGTTTATAAAGTGCAGAGTTGTTCGGAAGATAGGCACCTCACTATACGAAATTGAAGACCTCCAGGGAAAGAAATTAGGAGTCTATCATTCGAAAGATTTGCAGCATATGGTACCGACGAAATAGTTTCGCCCGGCTTTTGTTTTGATTTATCAGGGTCGCGGTTCTTCCCCACTTCTCTTATTCTTCGGTTGACTTCCCGAATCAGTATGCTTTCGGCAGGCCTCCACCAACGTGTTCGGGTTTGTTATGTCACCCTCGTGTAAACATACCATAGACCATCTGTCATCAGGCAATGATCGATTATGATATCGATTAGTCGATTCCTTGCAAGCTTTTTATCGGACTAGGGTGCCCTTATTTCTTTCTCTTTTTGCATTGATTGCAATTTTGGCGTCATTTCAAAAGTGCAAAGTGAAAAAGTAAGACGTACAGGCCAATAAATTTGCAGTTGTGCAAAGTAACTAAATTAATAGTAGTGAAGTGAAAAGGTACAGCCTCAATTGGAATTTTAATTAATACACCAGTTGGAGTATTATTTTATTTGGCTGGTTATTGAGCTCTTTCTGGGTGAGTTTCATATTTAGCTGCAAATTCCTATAAAGCAGGCAGCTTATACATAATTGTAGTTTTTTCCAGAAATTTGCAATAACGGTATTTTTAACGGTACCCAACCGCGTGAGCACCTCAGTGTGTAGTTTCGGCAAACACGTGCCCTCATTCATAGCGGAATTTCATTCAAATTTCTGAGTAGTGAATCAAACCCAATTCAAATCACAACTTGTTGATGCCGGCTATCAATTGTGGATGTCATTTAGCCACACCGAAGCAGCAGTAAATTTGTGTATTGTGCATTAAGGAATATCAAAATTGAACACCTTTGTGGACCATTTAGCAAATCAACCACCACCAACTCCATCGTCGTCCACAGCGCAAGTACATCCTGCTGGACATAGCAAGCAGATGCATCAAGCTCCCGGTAATGTTTTGAGTTACGTACAACTGTAAGTAAAGAGACAGTCTGCGTCCATCTTTTGTGTCATCTGGTACCCTATCCAACCAGTCACAGATGGGGAGGTTAGGGACCACATATTTTTACAACTTTTCCTCGACGGTCAGCCGAGTACAGTTAGACATTTCTGGTCTATACCAAAATACTCCATACGCCACCAATATGTATTTTCAATTTTTACGCTCGAAATAATCCAGTTCGTCCAAATTCCATTACATCATCATGTGTCAATTTAAAAGTCAACAAATTCAATCAAAATTAAGTTGGCTCCATCAACCTATATGTATATATGTATGTACTTGAGTATGTATGTATACATACCTATACAAATTTAAAAAAAAAATACTCAATTCATATTTTCTTCTATTCCTTTTTATAAATTTAATTTAAGCCTATTTTATATATTATTTATATATAAGTTTTTTCTTTTTGAATATTTTCTGTTAAATGTTGATCCCTATTCGCAACCAAATTTAGTGTGAATATTTCAGGATAGACCCATTGAGCTCGATAGGTTAAAGATACGTCCTTTATAAAATAATTTAGTGCACAGTGGCACTAGAATTGGGATGAACATACAAATTTAATTCAAATTTTGTATGAACTTTCCTTAATTGTAATAATCGTTTTAAATTCATTTGTATTATACGTTAGATTTAAGTAAGTCTAAGACTTGTTTTTCCTCGAATTAATGGAATAAAACTTAAAAGAATTTATGAAATGAAAAAAAAATGAAAGCTATTAAATATTATAATATGTTTTAGTAAATTATCAAAGGGGATAATGTAAAATAAGGGTGAAGTCAATATAGGTTTTGGGGGTATCTCACCATAGTGGGAGCCCAAAAAGGGGATTCATGTCGGAATCCATAGGGTGGGCGATGAAGGTATCCATTACCACCTGGATACCAGAAAACAGCACTGTCTTGAATATAATGCAACAACAATTTCTATTTTTTTTGAATTTTATTTTATATTAATAACTCAATTTTTTGTTGTCTCTGTTATGCACACCACTGAGAGTGCCGACTGAGAAGAGCCGGAGCAAACATGAATAGATCGATACCACTGTCATCTAGGTATGCTTAAACGATTTCGACCTCTCGTTTTGAGAACGTGCATGTATAACAGAGTGCTACAACATAATTTAGCCTCTTACATCACCTCCTGTAGGTTATGTACAAAGAAGAGATTCTCAAGATCATATATACAAAGAAGATATTGACCTAGAATTTTTTTTTACCAAATCTATCTGTATAGATATAGACGTTCAAAAAAAACCTCTTCCAACTTACCCATGTAGCATCCATGTGTTGTCATCAAAATGAACGTCTCTGACAATTGGAACGACACAATACACGTTACGGGTGTAAACCAAGTGTTCCACATTACATTGCCGTAATAGTGATGCAGCAATGCTTGAACCAACAACAACAGGGTATTCCATGCCGACACAACATTCAAAGCAATGCCATTGTGCATAACCATGGAACGATGAAAATCATGATAACCATTCATACGCAGATCATTATGACGTTTCCGTATTAAATGATCGAACAGCTGCGGGAATTAAGAAAAGAACATTTTTTTTATTTTATTCATTTTCCCGTAGAAATGCCATTAAACTTACAAATGTTACCAGCCAGAAAGCAACTCGCAAGCTTGTCATTATAAAGTAGGCTTCGCCACGTTTCTCCTCCGGCCATGACACGGCCAAGCCAATGCCCACAAAAGAAATGATCACGGACACGCATAGATGAATGCTGTAAGAGATAAGGATAAGTATTATTTCAACACATTTTTGTAGAAAACAAATTTGGGTAGGTCAGTAAAGAGTATTTTTTTTTTGCAAATAAAAAACATTCAGAGTTTTTAAATTGGAAATTATATATCCTCAAAAAAAAAGGTGCCTCATGATGATCAAGAAGATTTTGCATTGTTTTAGTCACATTTTCCAACCGAATATACTTTATGTCCCAGCAGATCCTAAAATATCCCTATAAAGAACTGTATGCATCGATGCGGATTTGTAACCGCAATTTACCGCCGGAATGTCATTGTAAGGACTAGACAACCTCCATCCAATAGGTTACAAATAAAGATCTACTTCTAGGTGTTAAACCACTTTTATATTAGAGACCTATATTCGATATTTTTAAGGCTTCCTTCCGACGTTAATTGTACATTTAGTTTTTTATTGGATTTCGATTGAGTTCTGAATTTCTCATGGAAGATGTAATTTTATGGAATCTTTAGTTTTTATTGGATCTCGATCGAGTACTGAATTTCTCATGGAAGAGGCATAAGATTGGTCCGCCCAAGTATAAGTAATTATTTACTGGTAAGTTTTACATTCGAATCTTCATATGTTAATCCGGACTGAAAACGAGACACTTCATGAAAGAACATCCCGGTCTAAGTTCCTGAAATCATTCGTTTTCCAATTCGTTCACCTATAAACATATTATTTCACAAAACTGTTCGAGTGCAGGCAGGGACTTGTAAAAACTTAATTCTGTGAATGTGAGTTATGAATAATTTATTCCCCATTCATTTCATAAATTGGAATGTAAGTTCTTTTTTTTCTTCCCTCTCCGACCTGCCAACATCAATAATTTATGTCAAACGGGATTAAAAACTTAATGGCGTACAAAAATTCCCACCAAGTCATGACTAACAAGTATTTTATCACATTTAGCAGTTTTCTCTAGACAAAGAAAAGGAGTTTTCAATATATGTTCCTAATAATAATTCCCAACTCACCTAAACACCGGTATAGTTTGAAGTTTCTTGAAATTTCCATCGCCAGAAGAAGCTAAAATCGGTTCAACATCGGTCATGATTCTTGAATCGACAAAAGCCTCATCCATATACTGAGCACCCTAAATGAATATAATCAACAATTAATACAGATGCGATTTCTTTCTGCAGAATAAACTTTCTTACCGATGCACTTCCAGCTCTATTCGGCAACAAACTAGCCATTTAATCAGCAAAGAAAACAAAAGCCGCCGCCAACCCAGCAAATGCACATTTATTTCGCCCTTGATTTTGTTTTTCCTTTCTGTTTCGTTTGCAATTTATCAATTTTATTTTATTGTATAATTGATAGAGATGACTCACAACAACAATCGTTTTTTCGTTTATTTACATATATTTTATGTTTTTTTTTTACAAAATTGCTTGTTGTTGTAATCTTTTGTTTAGTGCCGTGTCGCATCAAGATGAACTAGTTCAAAAGAATTATTCAGTGAAAGGAAGCGAAATGAACTAGTTCAAATGAATTATTCAATGAAATGAACTGATGGAATCAATGCATAGTAAAGCTGTGTAATGCATGACTCAATAAGAGAGGTTGTTCAACTTCAAAGAAACTAAAAAAAATGCAACTCTGTGCTGGAGTCTTATAGTGTCAAATAGATTTTTAAATATGCAACAGTTGGTTTTGCTTATTTTTCACTTTTTGACAAAATGCTTATATAGGGGAAACCCCGCGGGAAATGAATGGAATTTCGGGGTAATTCCACAAGATTGAATCAAAAATAGTAGAACTATACAGTTTTATCACAAAATTGTACCATTTGCTAACAATTCCGTCGAAAATTTGCATTTATTTTGCAATAAAATTTGATATAATTGCAAATTATTATATTTTTTATTCAAAACAATACACAAAATGAGTGTATGTTTTGACAGAATAATGCTAGGAACACAATTGGAGCGAACGACGAATTTTTTCGCGGCGTATGTTCGTCGTCAAAAATAAAAACCATATGTGTATATGGAAGTGCACACAATCACGGCGCCGGCGAAAATTTCGTCGGTCGCCGCGAACTCAATTAGCTTTATTTCTATTTCATACGCCGGCGAACGGCGACAAAACAGTACAAGGTGGCCATACTTGTACGAATTTTATGTGTATTAGTAAATAAAGTTACTTTTTACTTAAAAATTTGTTATGGTCACTCTACTATCTGTTATTCGTATAAAAAAACATAAATAATTTGTTTATTTATTTGTGCACTTGCACCTGAGTGAAGATGGATATCAGTGAATTTATAATAGAGAAGATGGATATAACTGAAATTATAATAGAGAACGTAAAGAATTATGAGTTCTTGTATAATTTTCATTGTAGTCAACAAATGAGCAAAAAGGAAACAACTTCATCAGCTGTTTTATAATTTCGTCGGTATTGTGTTCCATACGACGAATTTTCGCGGCTCTTTTTGTCGCCGCGTAGGGCGAAATTCGTCGTTCGCTCCAATTGTGTTCCTAGCATAAGGGCACAAAAAGAAAAATTGTATTTAGGGGCTAGCTTTGTTCTACCTTTTGTAATTATGCCATGGTCTGTTCCATAATCCATCTAGCAATTTCTAATTTTTTTTTCGATTTCATAAAGGGAAAATCGGTTATCGAAGCACCATGAACTTGTCTTATCGATTATTATCAACATTGTTATCATCACGCAGGCAATGGATATTTAATAAATTTAATTATATTCTCATTGTAATGGATATTTAACAAGTTTAACAAGTACATAGTTCTTATTGGAGAAACATAAAATGATCGAAATCAAAGCAAAATTGGTCAGAGCTGATTCACCTATATATGCCACGGGTGAACATGTTGAGTGTCTGATCGAGTTTACCAATAGAATTCCCTCAACAACAAATAATGGTGTTGACAATAGTACAGTGGAAAATCTTGCTTGGGCATCGGTGCAATTGCACTGCTATCGCAAAACAAATGTAAATATTGGACCCAAAGATAAAATGTTGGAGCTGAGTGAAATGGTGGGTAAGACCGCATTGGATGCTGTGACACAAGCACCGGGTGATATTGTCATAGCCACAAAACCAAAAATATTGTTTTGTGATCTTAAGCTGCAGCCAAATGAATCAAAGATATGTAAGTAAGATAAGCAACAGGATATATAAATAAAATCCGGTAATCTTCACATTTTCTTAGATTTTTTCAATGAGCTCATTCCAAGAGATGGACCTCCAACGTACCGGGGACACGATATCAAGTATTTCTATAAACTGACCATAGCAACGCAAAGGGTAAAATGTAAAGTTCAAACATTGACCGTGCCACTTCGAGTGCTGCCAATACCCTTGATAGCTCGTCCAGATGAACTACCAATCACCGAGGAAACAAATGATGAATTGGCCCCAACAAATCCCTTTGTAGAAAAGAAAGAAGTTACTGAATTGGAAATATCATGGCATCATTTGAAGGTAGTGCACTGAATAGCTTTCGTTTTGATAAAAATTAAACGAACATATTTTTCCTTTGCAGAATGTAACAGCAAGACGAGCACCAAAATTCTACAGAATATCAAATAAACGTGGATTTGTGGGCAGATTTTGCCTTTTTAAACCGTCCTACAAGTTGGGAGAAGATATTGTGGGAAGTTTGGATTTTGCCAACTGCAAAGTACGCTGTGTACAGTTCTCGGTGAAACTACAATCACAGGAAATTCTTTTAAATATGTCAGACAATAAATTCTCTAACAATGACTTTAATGACAACTCGTCCGTTAACTCTTTGGATTTGGCCAGTGTTGCTAGCGGTGTGGGATCGGAGTATATGCACAAGTCTTCCACTTCAGCTAGCTCTAAGGACAATGATGCAAATGTAGAGCCAACAGGAAAGGTTACCACACATGCCATTAGTCATCAGGTCAGCTATGCTACCATGCAGACTCAAGTTGTAGTACCCATACCTCTGCATATTACACCATCTTTTCGTACCGATTGTGTGGAGGTTAAGTGGAGATTACACTTTGAGTTTGTCACCAGTACAATGATGGATTTCGGAGTGCCAAATCCAGAAGTTGGCGAGCTACAGGCTCCAACTGAAATACCAGTGGAGACAATGGTCTGGAATTTACCAATAACCATATATCCAGCCAATCCATTACAAATATATGCACCTTCGCAAATTCATACGCTGCTTATTAAGTAAGCAGAAAATATTGCAACTTAGCCAGTAAGAAGTACATTCAAATAAAATACTTATTTTCTTCTGTATATATTAAACAAAAAAATATATCCATGGTAATTTAATGCATTTTTAGTTTTTTATTTCTTATTTTCATAAATATTGGCCGTTATAAATATGTGCAATCTCGTTTTTCTAAATAAATATCATGTGCAGAGAAACCTTCCTTTCCTTTAAAATCCTACCTTACCCAGCTTGGTATCTGTTTTGGGATTGGCTGTAACATTTTGCACAGCAACAATGGTTTCATTAATGCGTGTCTGTAGCTCTCGCAAACTTTGAATTTGCAACAGACGCAAAATTCTCACTGGATAATCAAGACTGTTGTCATCGGGTGCAACAATATCGTTGCCCTTTTCAAAGGGGAAGGGTGTTCCTACGACAGCTGGTCGGTTTCTAACATCCGGGGCCATACGTTCTTTGACAATGCGAGCAATAGCTTCCAATTGCAGCAAATGATTGGGGTGATGGGGTACTTTCAGCTTTGCTGCCATAGATCTCACGCCAGCGATGAAATCTTTGTGTTGGACTAATTCGGAAAAAATAAATTAATTTTATTTAAATGCAAATATATTCCATTAACTTACAATCCATATTATCGAAAAAGTTTTCATTCTGTATGCTAGGTTTAATGGATTTGCTACTTTGCTCGGCCACTTTTTCACCACTTAAGTCCTTGTAGGCTTCAGGAGCATCCAAAAATTCCAAACGTATAGCATAACTGAGTATCCACGACAATTCTTCTAGGGGTGTTTCAAGTGTTGGCATACCCAGATCCTGTTTATATTGCTCATAAGCGGCCTCCCATTTCACTGTGTCATCAACTCTGCGCAGTGGTTCACGGTCTTCGATTTGTATGTTCGAATCTTCTGGTCTTCCAACCATAAAACTGTGCTAGCAAAAACTTTTCGATCTGCAATAAGTTTCAGTTAGTCAAGAAGATTATTTCAAATGGAGGTTTGAAAACTTGCCATTATAATCTAATTTATCAGGAGTTGGGTGTTCCAAGGCCTCTAGCTTTAATTTCAACATATTTCAATAGTTTTATGAGGAAATGAAGGCAAGGCAGACACACACACAAAACGCCGGCGAATGAAGCCAATAAGATTAGGGTTCTATAGTTTGATTTTGATCTAATCGACTACGGACGAATTTTGGCCTCCTAATTAATTATCGATTTTTAGCTACGTCCATGGTCAATCACGGCGAATTCAATAACATTTGTTAATGTCCACACACAAAATGCCGAAAAGCATGGCCTAAAGCATGGTAGAGGAATATAGGTAGACGCATCGACACAGCTGCTAGGACAATGAACTGTCAAACTAATTTTAAAATTGAAAATTTTGAATGAAAACTTATACAAATTTGTATAAATTGTTGAAAAACATGTATTATAATAACCTCCGAATGACGCCGTATAAGAAAACATAAAAATCTACTTGTATTTGAAAATATATTTAAAATGTTTTGACATATGAATGTTCCCTAGCGTTGATGCATCTACCTCTAATCTTCTACCATGGCCTAAAGGAAGGAAGGGATAATAGACTATTCGAATAAAATTATATGGGATAATTGTGATAACTGTGTTGTGTTCCAAAACTGCAAAAATGTAAAACTTTTTAGTACAATAACCGATTGTTCTTTTATGATATCGAAATAAAGGAAACCTAGTAGATTCTTGCAGGTTCTGGAACAGAGCAATTCTTCAAGTCATGGAACGGAGCAATTACAAAAATTTTAGTATGATAACTGATTTTCTTTCATGACATTGGAAAAAATGCATAATTCGTCGATTTTTGCAGGCTCTGGAATAAAGCAAAAAATGACATTTCAGGAGCCGGAGTTACTTAAACTAATTGAGAAAAAATTAATGTTATTAATTATTTCGGAGGAATGGAAACCAGTACTAAAAATGTTATGAAATACAGCATATGTCCATAAACACACTTCCTTCCAAATAAATCCTGCAGCATCTGCGTTTCGAACAATGTCATGACTAGGGAAATAAAAAAATAGCTTTGGCAACCTTTTTGCTTTAATCAGTTATCATGAGTCGATGCTCGACCTTCTCATCCCTACTGAATTTGACGTATCCACATACACGTGAATTTATTTGTAAACATTGACTGACCCACAAGGCAACGCAAGGAACAGATATACAAATGGCCCTGCTCGGATTAAAGAAAAAACAGCCCAAAGAGCATGGTATGGAAACACGGAATC